GGGTATATATAGGCTCATGAAACAACCCCAAAAACCAATAAAAACACCCCCAAAACATTAAAATAAACAAAAAACAGAACTAGCTGTTACTGTAGCAACGGTCGGATGCTACAGTACTTCGGTCGACCGGTACGGTCGACCGGATTACTGTAGCAGTGCGCAGCTGTTTTGTAAAATCAATTTAAAATAGTAAATGAACTCCAAAAATTATGAAATTTTGTGAGAATGTTATAGACATGTAAAATAACATGTCAGAGAAAGAATTTTTTTCCCAGTTGAGATAAATAAATATTTGAACACAAATTTACAGTTTCTGAAAAACTGTTAACATATACGATTTTGTAAAATCAATTGGGCACAGTAAATCAACTCTAAAAATAGTAAAATTTTGAAGAAAGTTTCTAATCATGTAGATAAACATGTCAAAGAAAGAATTTCTTGAATATCACTTCCCATTTATGAAAAATCATCGGTTTTGTAAAAAACATGCACGAACATGCACGAATGAAAAACATGATTTTGTAAATTCCATTAAACATAACAAATCAATTCTAAACTTGATGAAACTTTGCGAAATGTTTGTAAACATGAAAACAAACATGTTAGAAAAAGAATTTCTCAAATTGAATTTCCATTTGTGAAAACTCATGTATTTTGCAAAGTGTGTCCAAAGCATGAAACTCAAAACCATGCATGTATATATATAACTATATATATACATAGAAACCAAATACGTGTGTGTATATGATATTGAGCTTAGAGTATCTAACACACATAATATAAATCCTAAACTAAATTACCCAAGCTTGATTGGTCTTCAATAAGCTTTACTTGGTAATCTCGCGGATGAAGCTTGAACTTGATCTTTAACTTGAATTGTACTTTGCTTCACTCCACAATTCCTCCAACCTCCATTGGATATGATCGTTATGGCGCAATCCATCCACCCTCCAACTATGTTGTTTGTCTACAATAAATACGAAAACACAAATACTAGACAAACAACATTAGTGGTAAATTGTTTGTTAAACATCATCAAAACAAGAAGGCCAACAGATGCTTCGCTCGATGCTCGTGTCGAGTCTGCTTCCCTTGGACCGTTCGATCGAGGTTGCTGGAGAACTTCAGTTCACAGTAGAAGCTCAACTCGAGGGAGTTCAGGTTTGCTTAGTTCGCCGGCGATCGGAGCTCGGAACTAAACAGTGATGCTGTAATGCAAAGATTATGCAGAGAGCTTGGTCTCAACTCTTTTCTCTAAGTTTGCGACCTCTCCTCCAGTGTGCTGGAGGGGGCTTTTAAATGAAAGAGGGACAGCTTGACTCCTCCTTGAATTGTGGGATGTGACCACATCTTCTTCAGAGACGTCTAGCTGCTCCTCGATACCATGAATGGTCATTCCAGGGATTGTGCTTTATGTCCTGTCACCTACGATGGGAAGGCCCATTCTTGTATATGAGGCAACGACCGTCTGCTATCCGAGTGGACCTGACCAGCATTAATGAACCGTATTTATGAGTTCGCAGATCGATGAAGTGTCTGTCCGATCACTCGTACTATGCGTGACCGCCCGGCGTGCACAGTACTCGAGTGGGTCTAGCCAGCTTGCTGAGTGCCGGTGGATCCAGCTCTTGGCTTAGACAGCCGAGGTGAGTCGCATTTATGAATGCTCAGGTTGACTCGACACCTGTCCAGTCCTTCGCGCTGTGCGTACTGCGAATGGCCGTTTGACGGTCTTGGGGTACTGAGCTCTCTCCCTTCGGGTCGAGAGGGATGGGAAGGTCCATCTCGGCACGTGGGGTAGTGGACACCCAGCTGTACTGACGGTCTTGGGGCTTGCTGGCGGATTCGACCCTAAACTCGGGCAGGCGAGTTGGGTGAAGGGCGAACTTCCGCTATCCTGATCGATCTCCACTCGTGCTGGCGAGCCGACCGTTAGGCGAACCTAGAATCGAGCATATCTGACGTCTACGCGACTTAGGCCCGTGCCAGAGAGTTGAGCGTGCGAGCTCTTCTCGTAGGCGAATTTCCTGTAAGCCTATAGAGGTATTTTTTTACCGTCTACAAGACCCCCTTCAAAGTTTTCAGACCTAAACCGGCTCGCGTGTGGTCTGGAATATTTTGAATGAAGAAATTTTCGGCGAAGCAAGTGCCTTTGGGCTTTTTTTAGGATTTTTAGCAAACCCTCAGCTATCAACGGGTTTGATGTGCCTTTACCGATCACCGTTTGAATCGGGCTAGTCATACTATTCCCCTCAGTATGATGAGTTGTTGAACAGTTTCTCTTAGGCTTAACGCTAAGATTTCCGCTCTAACCCTTAGCCGTCTGAGGCGTGGGTTTTAACCGTTTAAGCGAGGTCATTCCATTGGCTTTGTTTATGATTTTACCTTTAGTGGCGAGCGAGTTGCCCAGGCGAAATTAGTCTTTGGGAGCCAAATTTCGCGCAGCTCGCGGGGTCATGCCAAGTATTTGCAGGCGAAACCCGCCCTTTTTGAGGTGGGCCCAGATCTGACGGGAGATGAGCCACGTGTCAGCTGATAGGGCCTTGTGCTTCCCAGCTAAGGCGGCGCGGTCCCATTGGGTCGCGGCGATCGTGGTTTGACAACACGATTTCGTGTGTTTCGCCCCATGACGCATCGTGGCCGTGGTTTTCGGGTTCAACCGTCGGATGTAGCCGCCAACCTCGGTCCTTTCGATATACTGAGGGTGAAATCTGATCGTGGCCACGTCTCCTGCCAGTTAGGGTTTTCGCCTTTCGAGGGCAATCGTGGCCACGTGGATAACTCCGCCCTACTAAATCAGCCATTTTCCTCCATTGGGAGCTACCGTGCTCTCAAATCTCGAAAGGAACCTTTAAGGAAAGAATTCCCGCTTCATCCTACAATGGCTCCGAAATCTAAGAGGTGCAAAGTGAGGGGTGCAGGCCCCGGACGTTACTCCGACCGTCTCTCCGCCGGCATGCCTGCCGGTGCTCTGGAGTCACGCCCAGGTATGTCGATGGGTTCGTTGGACGATCTCTTGTAGGTCTTAGGCGTCGGATTTTAGGGAGATGAGCGTTGCTCATTACGCTTGGTAGCTTCCCTGATTTGGGGGCAAAGTTTGCCCTATTTGCCCTTAGAGGATGATTACTGTCTCTGCGGGCGAATCCTTCAGTGGGAAGGAGGCGAACTCCCTTTTCGTAAGGCGAGTTCGGCCCTTTCCTATTAGAGGGGAGTATAGTCTGTACGGATAGACCTCGTTCGAAATGGGTTCCCCCTTTCGATAGGCGATTTCGCCCTTCTCTGTTTGATGGGCGATTTTGCCCCTACAGCGCCGATGAGGCTCTCCCGGAGGGTGTGGCGGTTGGCCACGCCGGGGCTACGAATTATACGGCGCCTTCTCGATTTCCTTCTCTGGCTCCAGTGCCCGTATTCACCGCTGATAAGCCGCATGGTCTGGTACAGAGAGTCACGGATGGTCATCACTTGACATTACGCGAGTTGACGACCAACGCGGCGCTGACAGATGAGGACAGGGCAAAGCTGCCGAAGCCTCAATTTTTGTTCGGCGACGCTATGACCGACCCTTCCGCCCTGTTGCTCAAAGATAGCCGGTGGTTCCGCACGGTAGAGGGGGTTCATTATTACCTCCCCAGCATGTCGAGAGGGTTTTCGATCGTCGAGCTGCGGTCCTTCGCCATTCCTTGGACGATGAACTGGGATTTGACCCCTTCTCAGGACGGGGTCACTTGTGGCGTCTTTGGGTCTATTCTGCACCTGGCAGCGACACGTGGTGGTCCAAGATCACCGACTATGTTCTGGCCGAAAATGCTGACCTCAAGGACACAGAGCTGTATGTGGCCATCGAAGCCACTCGACACGGCCTGCGGATCAACGCTTCTCAGTTCCATAGTATCCTGGAACTGTATTGCGCGGAAAGCGGCACATTTTTCACCCCCAATGGTGAGCTTGGTATCACCCCTCACGAGATGTACGACGTGTCGGGGCTGCCTCTGGGAGATTTTCCTTACGAGGAGTACGTCCCCGATCAAGATGAGATCGATCAGCTGTCGAACCATTCCCCTTTGGCGGTTGAAACTCTGTGGGAGTTACTCTGCCACTACCACATATGCCTCAGTACCTTAGGGGCCTCGGATCATAAGGGGAAGAAGAAGAAGACCCCGGGGATCAGCCACAAGAATTGGGCTGATTACCTGTTCCCGGGGAACGATGTCAAGGGGAGCCCACCAAGACACCCCGACGACCCCGACAACCTCCTCTCACCTCCGGTAAGCCCGGACAGCGGCGAAAAGCTCCGAACAGCGAAGAACAAACCCGAACGGTGAGAAATTGCACTGCAGAAAACTACAGTTTTGTGCTGACTTCGCACGCACTTTCCGATCACCTCTAATCTCTGTTTCTGCCGATTTCTTCTTTGTTGACTAGCCCTACATGTTGCCTATCACCTCCAATTTATATCACGCTCTAACTCAGTCTCTATCTCTCTCGGTAACGTCCAAAACATCGATCGACGACAGCAGCGAGCAAAAAATAGTAACGCCGTGCCAACTTCGCGCGCGTTTTCCGACCACTTCTAGTGTCCGTTTTCACTACCATCTTCGCCGGTGCATAACCCTTTATATTGTCTATCACACGGTATCTTCCTTTCACTTGGGTTCATTTTCTATCTCTCATTATTTTGCTTCGAATATTGTTAGTTCTAAATTGCTCAACTAGCTAGAACTAACATAAGGAGATGAGAGAGCTGGGTTTGAGGGATTGAAGAGATGAGATAAGATTATTTTAAAAATTTTAGCTTAGCTGGCATGTAATAATTGTTAAAAAGGACCTGCAGTACAAAGTGCCACACTTCAAGGGGCTGAATCATATGGGAAAAACTAAGAGGGGCTGCAGCACATGAAGTTTCTGTTTTTGGGACCTGGACACATTTTCCCTTAAAAAAAAGATAAAAACATCTTTTTTCTGCGCAATAGATGCAGTACCATGTTAATGTACTCCTCAAGGGCATATAATAATGGCAAAATTATCAACAAAAAAAAAATCATTTTCCTCGTACAAGTTACATAGTAAGTCCGACTTTCCACTAACAAAAGAATATATACGATATACAATATGTCATACACAGACACTACAAAATGCACCTCCGCTTCCCATCATCAATCTAAAGCGACAGCTGAACTCCAATAAAATAAGGAAAAGGGAATAACGCCCAACTCCTCAAGAGCATATAATAGTATAGCAAAATTACCAAAAAAATTCCTTTTCCTATACTTGTGTTGATTGCTCAACTCTTCTTCGATTTGTTTTGACTGTTGTCAGTTGTTACTTTCACAACCGAAGTCATCCTTCAAATTTTACAACCTTCGTGTCAATTGTCAGTTGTTACTTTCACAACCGAAGTCATCCTTCAAAATTTACAACCTTCGTGTCAATTGATTTGTATGAACCTTGCAATGAAAAAAAAGAGGAATAAACAGGGGGTAAACAAAATTTAGTGATGATAATAACAGATGTACGAACAAAAATTAACTTGCAGAGAGTAATCCTGATACAAAAGCATGCATACAGCCAGTTACTCATTTAGGATATCTGTGTTTATTCTTTGAATAACGATAAGGAAAAAACTGGAAATAAATATTATGGAAAAATACAGCTTATAAGTACGGGTGGTAAACGATCGAATCGAATCGAATTGAATACTAAAGTATTCGTATTCATATTTGTTTAAAATTATCGAATTCGGATGTGGACTCTAATTTTCATATATCTACTTTTTCGAATTCAAACTCGAATACTTGATATTTGATAAATATTCATGAATATTCACGAATACTTATCGCATATCAAAGTATAGTTATTCCGCTAAAGAGTTTGATTTTCAAATAGTATTAAAATTCATAAATAAAAATTATTCATTTACAATATATGATGTATATATATTTAAATCAAGATTTTAATTAGAAAACAGATTTAAAATTATTTAAGTCTTAAAATTGGTATATAAAACTTCAGTAGGAATGATAAGTGGGTTAAAAATATGACATCATATGTGCAATAATACAAATAATAAGCTGTGATCAAATTTTAAACGAATATTTAATAGACAAACGAATCAAATATACATTTGGTTAAATTCTATTCGTTAGTAAACTCGAATACAAAAAAATATTTGTTTAGTGGTAAATGAACTGCCGAATCAAATATGACCGAATAGTTATTTGAACAATTATCGAACTATTTGTTAATTATTTGGTTCATTTCCACCCCTACTTAAGTTTTATTTGGAAGAGGCTACAAAAATATACCTTCACTCACAGCGGGCGTAACATGAAGGTTTAAGGAAGAAAGGGGGAAAAGTTGATTTATTTTGACTTTAGCTGTCTTCACTGTCACAACCAGGCTCCCCAACCTGGAAACATTTGACAGAGCCTGTCCGTGTCTATCGCATCTTGTATGAGTTGCTGCACCTATAAATGCAATACAAAATTAAACTGATGAAGATTGAGGAGAGCAGATTAGAAGTTCCAACCTAATATTATACTCATACATATATGCTGACATTTGAATACACAATATAGTTCTTTAGTCAATATCAGCACATGTACATAAATGCTGCAGCTTTTATTTCAAATAGCTCATAGATTAAAAATCAACAAGATATGTGAGGTCATACTACAAGGACCAAGGTCCACTTTTAGTCAGTTCAAAATACTAAATTAGGAGTTTTCATAATATGATTACCTGGCCTTGCACGCTTCTCATTTCACCATCTTCATACCCATCTAGCTTCTGCTTGACTCGCAATGTCGCACGTGCTGCATCCTTGTTCCCTTCGTACGCATCTTGTGAGCCCTCCATACTTGAGCCTGTATCATAATCAGTTTCCTGAAGTAGAATTGTCATTAACTATACTAGTTTATGGCATGTAGTGCAAGCTGGCTATTTGTAGAAGTAAATTTGCTTTAAGAAAAACATTTATTCTAATAAAAAGAGCATGAAAATGTACGCACTTTCTGGTGCCTATATTAAATGGAGGCCTATCTCCTATACCATAATATTCAATACGCTCGCAAAATGACTAAGCACATGAAAGACAAGTTTACTATTTCAAATCTAACTAGTACAAAATAATTTGACTTCTATACATACAGAAAGGCAGACTAAGGTGGACATATTTACAAAGTACAAACTTACGATTTTCAGGTTCATATGTTGATATGCGAAGTTAACATTGTTAAGGGAGAAGTGAAAGACACATTAGTGTTTGAAAGGTTTAACAAAAAGAGAGTTGATACCATAGTTTGCTTATACATGCAAAAAGGATTATAGTATAAAATATAAATTTTAATCATATCTGAATAACCTATAAAATTCATATTTCTTGTAAAAGTCAGGCTTAGAGTTTTCAGTGTTTTTGTTAAATCCCTTTCTTATGGGTGTTTTTTGGTGCAAAATTTTGGTCCATTGACCCACAGAGGACATGAACTAGTTGGTGCCATTGTAACATTCATGGGACCCACCAGATGTTTGTTGATGCACTTATTTGCATTTATGGATTGCAGACCGACACAGGAGAAAATTCGGGAGACTGGCTTTGGTTATGTAGCAAAGGTGCTGTGTTTTCTGTTACTCAATCTAGCACAAGAATGCACTCTAATTATCAACCATGCATAACTAGCAAGCAATTTCTGACATACTGTATAGTTCCTACGTCCAAGATTTTCCCATACTTGATATTTGAGCAAAGTTGTCCTTACAAACAGCAGAGATAATAAAAGAAAGACTATCATTGTATTTCATCTATAACAAAAGGAGCTAAATATAAATGTAACTTTGTGTTTTAGTTGCACACAAGATCATTAAATTACCTACCGTTTCATAAAGTAGAGCCATTTGAATAAAAAAGTAGTTAAATAACAACTTTGGAATACCTTTTGCCTCTGCAAGGCTTTTAGAGGTGAAAGAGCCCATTTGTAGAGAGGATCATGGATGAAGACCTGTAGATCAAATTGCAATCAGTTCTCTGGAAAATTAAGCAAGAAGATGAACTATTCCCAAAGATCATGGTCTTTGGTAGTACTTCGATAATAGTAAGCAGTGCTTCCTTATTTGTCCTCATGACAGATAGAGTTTCCTCGCAACATCTTCTAAAAACACCCTCCACTCCAGTAATCCCCATGCCATCTATAACATCTCTTGTCAGCCTGAAAGGAACCTGCCACAGACAACCAGGAAAAAAAAAGGAGAACTTCAGAGAAACTTCAGGGAATTGTTCGGTTTGCAACAACATACAGCCTCTTGAATGATATGGCGTTTGGAAATCTAAGAAATAAATTTACAAGGGAATCTTGGATTCATAAGTACACGAACCCTTTCAGGTGTTTTAAGCATGAGACCCTGTTCAAATGCAACACCAAGATCAATGTGTACTACTTCTGCTGTAGCCTGATCTATTAGAATGTTCATAGAATGGCGATCTCCAAGTCCAACAATGTAGCCAACCTGAAGTGGAAACATTACAATGTTCAATATCTAAAGCCAATGCACGTCTTAAAAAGTATTATTTTGGATATTTACGGTTAACAATTGATGACATACTCAGAAGGTGGAGGCTGCTATCCCACACTTAACACAAAATTATTGAGAAATTTCTTTCATAGTACAAACAACAAAGTTACTGATCAAGCGAGCGATTTATAATCCATACTCACCATTGAACTAGCTGCCACGCTTCGAGTATAGGACAGTCTGCGCTCAAACCAATCAGCTGGTTGCAAAAATCTCTCCAAGAAGAAATGGTGCATTACTGGCCTGCTTGAAATTTGTCACCAGTGAATTACTATTCCAACTAAAACATCAATAAAAAAAAATTCAAAGTCAGCTATGAATTAACATGGGACCTGAAGTTATCACAAACTCTTAGAAATGCCTTCCGCTTGTCCTTTTCCTATAGAAAGATTCAACAATTGTCGAATAATAAGGCAAGCATTTTTTCTTAACTAATAGAGTGCTGAAAAGGAAGTAAGACATTAAACAACTCTGTTCTATGTCTAAATGGTTTTTTTCCTATCCAAAAGAAAGATGAATTTTCTGTAATATTCTCTGGACAGGTTTTGCGCAAAACAAAATTAGAGCTTTCTAATATACTTCCTTACAGAAAAAATCCTATCAATCAAGTAAGTTACATTTATGACAAATGCAAATGAAGGGATGCTTCTTGATTTTCATTTTACAGCATCCCAATATGCTTCAAATAATTCCTTGAACACACGAGTTGTTTCTGATATACATATCTAAGCACGTTATGTGTACACTACACACAAGATATACATACATTTGCCATGTGCTCTCGGCATTGAAGAAATGACCAGTCACCAATTCCATATCGTGCGTGTGCCCCTCCATTTCTTGAGCTGAATTGATAGAAATACATAAATTTAAGCAATACTCCATCATTGAAAAATAAAAATATAAATATCATCAACCAGAGTAGTATGAATAGAGATGACAAACCTTCCCAAAAGATATTCACCAAGTGGAATAGTACGATCAACCCATTCAAGTACGCCAGCACTTGGGGTAAATGGTACAACCTATTTGAAGTGACTAAGACAAATCAGGAAAAGTGTAGCCCTATTTAACAACTGCAACTCGTAATTCAAAGTCGTCCTCAATAAGAAAACAATAAAATAATCTCAATGAGACAAATAAATTGGTGAGCTTCTTTAGTGCACTAAAGCTCGCTCCTAGCTTTTATATTAAAAGGTACTAATGTTCAAAATAACCTAGTCATTCCACAGAGCAAACTCTCTGTTTACACTTTACACTTAATTAATCACTGAAACAAAGCATCTTTGAGAAAACTTCCTTCAGGAAAAATAATTCATTTGTAATTGTATAATATGAGTTGCATGGAACCCAATTCGTTCCAGTTCACGGGACGGATAGGGAAGTGTGCTACGCCACTCATTATCGGGTACCAGGGGTAGGCTTATTCAGAGGTTTTGCAATAGTTAAAATTAAGAATTACACTAGGTTCGGTTCTTAAATGTAGGAATTAGAGGTTTTGCAATAGTTAAATTTAAGAATTATGCTAGGTTCGGTTCTTAAATGTAGGAATCAGAGGTTTTGCAATAGTCAAATTTAAGAAATAAGCTAGATGATATCTATAATGGTAAAAGATTCTTGAGAATTATGTTGCAATTAAGTTAAGCTTAAGCATACTTTATTTGCTTAAATTTTCAACTTTTTTGTTTATTCTATTGAAAAAGAGTAATTGTTTGTCAAAATTACATATGAATTATGCAAATGGCACTCAGGCAGTCTTATATAGTAAGGGTACTCTCATGCAAAATATACTTGAATACAAAAAGCAAATAACTGAGATAAACCCGAAAAGACGACCGAATGTCATTTGACTTGTTACCCACTCCTTGAGATGAAAACTAGGGAGTTTCTTTTCACTTTGCTAGGTATCCTTGCTGCCAAGTTATGTCAAGTCAACCCTGGGTGTAAGATTGATTTGTAGGTTTCTAGAAAGGTTCTCTTCTATCCAAAGTTCTGTTTTAGCATAAAGGAGAATTAGGTTGTCAACTGCTGGCACCTAAGTTAGTTGGTAGATTGAGATATCACACAAAGAAGACAACATCCTCAATTTTCTTCTCAATAAATCATCTCTTTCCCCTCCACTTTATTGCTTCTGACACGTTTGGTGGCTTAATTTGATTCTACAAATATTGTTTTGGTATGAAAGCATCAAGTCAAAACTCAAAAGTGTCTTTCATCATGTATGAAACATAGAAGTATAAAACCAGATCTTAAGATTGCTCCTGATCGGTTCCTCCACTTCCATTGACTGCTCGATAGCTTCAAAAGACTACAGAGTACTATTACTTCGACGGCCGAAAGCTTGGCCCCTTCCTTAAGTGGGATAAAAAGTCCCCAATATATTTGACAAAAGGAACGCGGCTCATGTTTAGCGAACTTACACAGATGAACTCTTCAATTCACAGTGATAAAGTTTCTTTTTGATTCTCCAGCTGATGTACCTTTTACAAACAGTTCTCATTATTCTACAACCGGGCAGCACAAGATAGGTTAGTCCCATAATAGCGAGATGGTAGTAGTTAAATATAGATAGACCCCCTTTTTAGGCCATATAGTTTTCTAAGCCTATTAGCCGCCACTAATCAACTTTAGAGAGCCTACTATAGCAATTCGACATAAGAATTCAAGATTAACTGGGGCTGGAATTGAAAATTTAAAATTACAGGCCTGAACTCTCAAAACTTGCAGAGTTTTCGTGTAGTGGAAAGAGTCTTTTGGCACGGCATCAGAGCAACAGGTTAAGGTTCTACTGGTCACGAATTTAATGTCGATTAAAAAAATACTGTCACTTGAGCCCAGGTTTGGCTCATGAAAAGGGCGGTCAACCTGCAAGTGCATGTTAGACTTTATACTTATAACCCACAACCCTCAACACAACTTTGGAGTTTTGGTGGAATGGAAGGGTCATTTGACAACCCCATTGATTGTAGAATGTTCATATGATAATGATGAACATAGAGAAACCATCTCAGCAACAGATAGCATTATACGAAGTATCAGCAAATACAACTAGCATGTAGATAACAAGCATAAAGATCCCTTGACAAGATACAAAACAAGCACAGCCCCATGATAGCATATGGTGGGAAAAAGGAAACAACAAATAAAACATGAATTTAACATCTCAATGTGCACTATAAGTAAACCATAACAAAGGTCTACTAGCTAACCGATTAAGACCAATAAATGATATGTGACTACAGATGAAGATACCTTATATGTGCGTATTCCTAGTTTCCTTCTCCAAGTATCTCGATGATTTTGAAGAAAAGTATTTACTAAACCAAAGAACTGTTCCATAACCTGCAGAAACCTACAATCAATTGCCTATCAATAAGAAATGAAAGACTATTTCACACGCATAAGATCTTGCTGTATCTCAAAACAATTATCATCATTATTTCATCAGTAAATATAGACATCTGAGTTCCCTTATTAAAAAAAGCTTGAAATGAAGTTCAACGGGTGAATCTCATCTTATCTGGATGGAGATGAAACAACCCATTTAGCATAAAACACTTCAACTGTGCAGGGTATCATTTTTCTACCTTTTCATCGTACCACTGTCTTGCAGAGAATAGACTCCTAGACATGCTTTGCATCCAGAATGTACCAAATTGACATTAAAAAAAGGGAAAAAAAGAAAAGGAAAAGGAAAAAAGAGGGGAAAAAACTTCATGACTCCTTGGGGAAAGATGTAAACATGCTGTGAACTACTAGTAGGTTGCAATGTGGTGCACTAAATGTGGGCATATCATAGTGATAAGGTGCACATAGAAAAGGGAAACATATAATCTTCTTAGTGGAGTTGTCACACTAGGAAACTGTAAGAGGTCGGCAGTCACAAATCAAGTGTGTAATGTGACAGAAGATGCAACAAGCCCTTCACCTGGAGTGCCCAAGTACAGACTTGATGGTGATAGAGGAACTATCAATATACTAGAAAATGCACAGAAAAAAGTTTCATAACCATACAGCATCTTGTCGTAGATCATCATTTCCAGATTTAGCTAGTTGGCGATATTTACGACCATCTGAGCCAAAGCACTCAATCACTTTTGGGGCATTTATACCATTCATCACCCTACAAACAATGCAATTGATTAAAGATGTTATCTTCCCTCAAACTCTTAACTCATAAAAGTATGATAAAGTATGGCAAGCTACATACATGACAGAATCTGCTAATCCACTAAAATGTGGAAATGAACCTTCCTTATATTGGCAGCTGTGATCAACTGGAATATTAGCTGTTACAACGGGTACCTGACGATGTTATAAGTACATTAAAATAAGTTGTCATGAAATCATTACAGTTAATGTATTACCACTCACTGCAGTTAACGTGTGATAAGGAAAAATCCTTCAATTGGTAAAAGGACAATAATGATGAGAAAAGGCACACAAATATTCCAAAAAAAAAAAAACGGGTAATTGTTGTCATAAACTTTCGGGAAATTTTTAACTCGCACAACAATAACTGGTTACAATCACGAAGGATTATTTATTGACGAGTCTATTTCCTAATCAAGCCAACATATAAAAAACATGCTCAAGACTGGATAAGTAATGATATAATAAAATCAAGAACACAAAACTTTACATATTTCACATCCAATGTGTTTAGGGCTCAGTCAAAGAGTAAACAGTTGACTGGACCATGATTCACTTGCATAAGTTAACAACCTTAACCATTCTTTACAGGAAAGTTTCCACTTGGACAGAATTCTTACAAGTTCAAGTTGTCGAAGACTGCGGACATCTCTTGGTAGTGGTATTCTTTTGTTAGTTTCCTGCTCACATGATTATTGACACAGACTCAGAATTAGCTATAACATAATTTAACCAGGAATAAAGTAAAGCGAGTGCATCGCGTTTGAGTAAAAGAGCATGTATATTGACATTAGAGAATAGAAATAATTGACCTCCTTTTTCGTCTCTAGCTCGGCAAGCTTTATATATATCTCAACCATTTGTTTCATCTACAAGGCAAGCAATATCATTACGCCAACAACCAAATATTAGAAAAGAGACAATAAAGAAAACAGAAGAAATGGAAAAATAAAAATAAAAAACATAACCATAAATGATTAAATTGAATGAACAAGATAATGATTGGAGTACCTGCCGCAATATTGCACCATGATGGGCTGATAACTCATTCAGAAGATTCTCTGCAGCAAGTTTCTTGTCCATGTCGACAATGAACGAATTTCTACTTCTCTGCTTATCTTTGATGCGATCACCATTTGCAAGAGCTAAAAGCTAGCAAGGAAATACCACTGCTAATAAGAAACTACAAGAGGAGAAAATAGACAAATACAAACACACATATTCCTGATCAACAAAGAGGTATCAGTAAGCTCAAATTGTACTACTTGGGCACATGTCTATTTACATTCAACAAATGAACATTTACAAGTACCTATATTTAACTTGGACATTCTTGAAGAATGAAAAGTCTGCTGAACTACATACGGCAGTTTGCTTATTGGAAGTGAGATCTTGTAAGGGATCATAGTGATCACTAACCAGATAACTGGCAAGATGATTTTTCACGGGACTTTTCAGTGAATATTCATGCAAGTATGTGAACCAGTGCATAGCAAATAGCAGCAGAGAGACAACCATGTGTCATCTACAAGAAGTATGTAGTAAAGCATGGAATTAAATTAGCAAAGTCAATTAGTTCCAAGATCTTCTTCTGGCCTGTTGGTCGACATGAAAGTTGGGCAAACAAAACCGGGTTCACTGCATGTCAAGTATTGGTTCAGGTTCATAAGTAAAGATGGTAATGATGTAGTTATACTATTATTTCAAAGGGGCTGTTGTGACTAGGAACTAGTGTGCTCTGTTTAGAAAGTGGAGATATTTCACTCATATATTCTTCTGTCATATCTGGTTGAAAAACTTAAAGTCAGATATCAAGAGAGAAGAAGATAAAGTAGTAATCTGCAGGCATCGAAGTTTATTAGTTCTCTCCCCTCCTTTTCTGGATATTGTCTGCTCTGATAAACCAAATAAGTCTGCATGGATTTAACGTCTGTGTTTTACTCTTATATTTATTGTTGTTCATGGGGATTTGTTTGCTCTGAACACACATGAAGCACGCCAAACCCAACAAAGTTATACCATACAGTTCGGACTTAGATATTCATTGAGATTGCTCTGGGGTATGAAGACTAATGCATTTAGACACATTATGCACTAAACTTCCCATCATTAGAATTTTAAATAAAGCTTGTCCTTTGAATGAACATCATCAGCAGTCTTTTTCATTCTAACCCAAGGAGCAGGACTTGCAACGAGACAAGATTGCACCTAGCTTTTGATTGATTTGTTAGGGAATCCATCTCCCGTAAGGCATGAAGGCTGTTTTCCACTAAATGCACTGTATATAATCACTTTAGTGGTACTCAAAATTTGAGAATTCAAGACATTAAGACAGATTTTGGCAAACCAAAAACATATTATCTAAATGCGTCACATCCATCTTTAAACTTCTGTAGCATCAATACTAATTGAAGAAAATCAAAGGAAGTTATCTTAAAAATGGCAGAGATTGTGCTTTCTCAAATCTGTCTGCCACCTATCAGTGCAACATTTACAAAGTACTAAATTCAGAAACAAAAGAGTTCCATTTTAAAATCCTTATAAGCTACATGCACATAATTTGGAGTCCCTCAGCTCTACGTGCATAACAAAACAAAACGAAAAAAAAGAAGAAAGAAAGAAAGAAGAGGCTCTAACAGGGAAATTTTAAGTTGACATTGCAACCAATGTTTTAGATGTCGGATATCGGGTTCTTGGACAACTAAAATCCATGTCGAATAGCAGAAATTAGGTATATGACAGGAGATATGTACCAAATATTGGATTGCCAATATTGGATGGTGTGAATATGTATAATATAATGTTCTAAATGCAATCTAAGAAATTAATAAATTCTATAGTCTAAATATACAAAAAAAGTATAACATATGGTGTTTAGTGTCACTAACCGATTGTAGAAACTTGATTCTCGATCACACATCTTGAAACCATCCAAGTGATGAGGCCTAAGGACTGAAATCAGTGACTGAGAGGGAGAGGGGCAGACCAAGGGGGAGAGAGAGAGGGGAAGAGAAAGATGGAGACTGAGAGGGACAGGGAAAGTGTTGAGAGAGACTGAGAGAGAGAAAAAACTGTAAAGGAGAGACTTGTTGGGGGGGGGGGGGGGTAGAGAAGAGAGTCTTGAATTTGGGGGCGTTTTTCCTTACTCGAAAAGTGATGACGAAGCTCTGGAGAAGATGAAGCCCTAAATGAGAGAGAGGATCTTTTGTGATTGAGTAATTGGGTCGGGTTGGGTCGAGTTGTTAAATTTTATTGCAATTCAAAACCCATTAACTGCCAAAATTTCCCAAGAATTAAGAAAGAAAGAAATCTGCCGCTTTTTCAAAACTGAGATTGTGTCCAACATATCCGCTTCGACCCGATATATCCCCGACATATTCCCCAAAACGTCATTCGACATATATGGCTCCATATTATGGAGGTTACGGCCCCAATCCGACATGTTAGCCGCCATGTCTGACATTTAAACACTGATTGTAACATTATAATTTCTGCTACACTTATTTCTTGTACAAGGTTCATAGTGTGGCTTATAGAGATCAATATAACTAGTTGCAATTCATTTCCCAATGAAAACAAATAGGATATAATTTATAGTGTTTGTAAATGGGTATAAGAACTAAACTAAATCAATGATATAATTGATAAAAAAATTGGGTACCACGTCTTCAATACCTGAAACAGAGTATGATATGGATGATCAATGGCCATTTTCTTCAAAAGAGAAACTAATGCAAGCTGCAAAATACACACTAACTTAATTCAACAAAAGTGTCTTACATTTGTTCACAAATGTAGGATACGTTTCACTAAAAAATAGTACCTGGAAACTATTTGATCCCTGTCCATCTTTTGAACTACCAAGTCTTGAAGCAATTTGATATACCAATGGTATAAACTTGTATGACTGAACCTGTAAACCCACCATATACTTACCATCAAAAAGTAACATAAAACAAAGTCAAGGTGAACAATGAAACTACACACACACACCCCACACATCCACACGAGCGCGCTGCGCACGTGCTCGCACACACGCCCGCACCCACACACACACTCAAAGTTATCAAGGATGAATGCCAAAGGAATTACAAGAATACTTAGAATTGTAAGAACGGGGAGCAATATATTCCCATTTCTAGACATGTCACATGTGTCCATATATATAATTCATACACGCCCAAACAAACACACCAAATTTCAGTTAAAAGGGTAATACTCAGAGCTGTTGCCCCACCTCCTTCACTGTGCTATGCATTGCCTTTACCACGCTTTGTCTTGTATAGAGGCTGAACCATAAGGAAACAAGTCGAAATACCTGCATCATATATTTTTGCACCAGTGACTCATCAAGCAAGTAGTATATTGTAACATGAACAGAGAATATGTCTGAATGGTAAAAAAGAACAATATGTTTCTGATACGTAATTGGCACTTATTTCTTATGCTCTACATAACGATACTTTTTAATAAGAAAGAATAAATGTTTTCAAGAAAGCTTCAAATTCTAATTTGTAAATCCTAAGAAATTGGCTCATTTTTCTTAACACCTGTTTGATTATCATGATCTAAGGATATGGAACTTCCACATATTGACTGTGGTTCTCTCAACATGGTTCCCTATTTTATACACGTTGAGAATATTCAACTTCAGATTGAAACTTTATTCATTGTATCAACATAAAATATGTGATGTAAGTTGGCATATGAATTTAAAACTTCTGTTATTATTTCCTTGTGTTAATCTTTCAGCTAAATCTAATAATAAGAAGATTCTTCAGTAAAGGGAGAACAAGAAGTAAGAACGTGCATGTCAATTCAATAAGCATAATAAGTGCCTTACATACCCTGCTTATATTACGGCTAGAAGTGCTTACATCTATTTCATACAAGAACGTGGTAAATCTCGAGATATTTCTATTTTTTGTTGTTTCTAATTATGCTAACTTCGATTACTAATTTTATTATGTTCTTTCATTTCTTCGCTAATTATGTGGATACCATATCTTCTGAACATGTCATATGACTCACATCGCTACCCCTTAAACAGGTGGCTTTGTTTGCTCTATATGCCAAGTTGCCAACTAGTTGGCAGCATCATATTTGACCTTTAACATCATCTATATGACCATTGACATCTTTGTGCTAACTTGCTTGTGCACAATAGTCAATATAGAAAATATCATTAAAGATAGCAGTGTCAATCTGAATTAACAGAGATCCATTAGTATATGGGTTGAGTCCAGACATGCTAAAGCTAAATCAAAAGAATAATCTACCCATTCACATTTCAAAAGCACACTCCTCCAAACAGACATACATACATCTTAACTGTCACAAAGAACTTGGCAGGAAAGAGTTTAAACATCCTGGCGAGGAAAGTTATGGAGGATTGCAAGTATTCTATGTATAAGTACCATGAAAGCTGAAGGATATTCACTAGAGGAGTGTCCTACTAAGAAAAGGCATGCAATCATGATAAATTTCTTTAGTGAGCCCCTCACCCTTGATGATACCATATATTATGAGTTTTGAAAATCTCTGGTCCAACAATGTAGTTATTCCAAAGCAGCGATATATTTCTGGGACAGCATCTGTTAGTCTGCCACTTGAAACTAGTTAACTTGTTAGATTGACATATTCTAATTTTTTTAATAGGTTCTTCTTTCATATGTATACATAGTTTTGTTTGCTACTTTCAGGGGTGCTGTAATCTCCACAATAGTTCCTTTTAAGATCAATACATGGTCAGCATTCCTTTAACTATATATAGCCAGTACATTTTTGTATTGAATAAATTATAAATAGAAGCTGATAATTATAAATAAATAAATAAAAATCAGTTCGTTGGATGTCCCCATGTTCACTAGGTGTTAAAAAGAACTCAGAACGGGTAAGACCAGCTTTCTTAATATCAGTGTTTGGTTTAACATCAAATGATGGGTTATGTTTCTGCTAAGATAAGTTCAGTCCATAAACTTGGATAATCAACTATTACACTAAATAAAGCAATATTATTCTTGAAACTTGCAACTGGACATTGTTCATACCATATATGTTGAAAGTATTTCACCTTGAAAGAATACGACACATTTTATCATTCTCATTTATCCACTAAATTAAAGTTAAAATTCTCTTAAAGTTCTATCAGAAAATGATGAATGAAAGTAATTCGCTTCTCAACTTATTTTGTTGTATCCCATCCTTGCATTTAGTCAAAAGGTGAAGTGTACAATATGTGAATACAAGTATTACCATCAAGTATTTGTAGTTATATAGCAGAAGATTGGAAACTCTGTACAACAGATCATGAATCGCTGAAAATAAACATTTACCACCCTTAGGTCGTATTTGCCACCTATGACAAGACAATGCTCGTATCCCTCCAATGCGAGACTGAGGAAGCTGTCTCTGTCATCCTAATATGTTGAAGAGTTTGATGTTAAGAAATACATGTCGAAATCATGTCAAAAAGTAAAGAATTAACACTTCATCAAAGACTTTCTTAACAAAATCTACTTGGCAATCGATGTTTACAAAGGTAGCTAAAACATTGTGCTGAAGCGTTCCTGAAGCCTTGCAAGGAAGAGATGCAATATCAATTATGACATCCAAAGGCATGATTATCAGTTAGCCCTAATTTTCACGGTTCAAACCCATTGTGTAACTGTGAGAATGAGAAACGCAGAAGGGTAATATAATGTTGAACTGAATGTGTCAATGGCCTGATACTTTGACCATGAAAATATTTGGTGGTAGTTTATCTCCTCTAACCGGATGCAATTTCTGTTTGTCCAAAAAAGTTGAGCTTTCAATAAAGAAAGTCCATAGAATGAATTGCTTTGTTTAAAAAACAAAAGAACATATAAGATGTGCCTTCCATAAGGTTGCCCAAATATAAATTTTCAAATTTATCAAGATCTTTGAGGACAAAGATTAGTGTAGCACATGCTGTGAACAGTAACAAGTCCAAAGAAAACTAGGATGAGCAAGGGTATTACATAAACCTGTACGAACACTAGATGAACATGTGATAAGAAACACAGCAAATGAGGGAGAACGTATAACTATAAGGACCTTACTGGTGTCTTTCCAAAATGAATATCTATAGTTTTATACAAAATGAGTAACTACAAGATGAAGGTCAATTAATTAGTTATTATAATTTGAGACCTTTCATCAAACAAAGCACTCACAGTTGTGTTGACTTGGCATCTTGCTCAGCATGACCTAAGAAAGCTTGAATTCATCACTTCCCAACCATTTAGCTTATATTGAATTCATCACTTCCCAACCATCTAGATTATATTGAGTTTGTCCCTGATGAAACTAATGCTATGCATATGAGACCATTAACTAAACACAAGATATGCTTTAATGCTATACTTCTGATGTGGGATACGGATAAAAAAAATAAAAAATAGCTTAAATTGAATTTCCTAGTATACACTACTAGACTATGCAATTGGTAATGATAGATTAACAGAGTGAATCTAGTTACATGTTAATCTTTGACTGTCATGGCCTAAAAAAGATTGAATTCAGCATTTCCAACCATCATTCATATACTGCATGCCTTATAGCATAGTACCAGACAACGTAATCAATAGCGATATTAACAGGCTGGATCACATTAAATATTGAATAATGTTACAGAAGGCGCTAGACGGACTAGGCGTTTGAGCCATCGCCTAGACGCTTAGGCGTTTGGCTATTTTTTAAATTATTTAATTATAATAATTGATAAAAATATGTATTAAATTCATATAAATTTGTAAAAAAAAAGATAGCAATCATAGATCCACAATAAACCATGCATACTTAAATACTAAATAGCCAAAATAATAACTAACAATGTTATAGAAAGTGCTAGGAGGCCTAGGCGTTGGACCCGACACCTAGGAGGTTTTTCTTTTATATTTTATAATTGATAGTAAATGTCAATGTTATAGAAAGCTTAGGTGCCGAAATGGTTGCTAGGCGGATTTTTTTCTTCATTTAAGTGGTGGTCAAGGTTTTGCTGAAGGCCGAAGGAGAGAGTGGAGGTGTTCATATTTGGAGGTTAAAGGTGTTTGGAGGACGTGGAGGCTGCAACACAGAAAATCATGATCAAAGCCTAAAGTGTGCAGTCTACGTAAGCAGACAATATTCCCCTAAATACTCCCAAAATCTAGGTGGGCAGCCTAGGTACTGCCCAGCCGCTAGGCGCTAGTTAGGCGGCCTAGGCGTACACCTAGACGGGCTAGGCAGAGGCTTTTTAAAATAATGATATTGAAATTGTAATTACTAGCCAAAGGGCTTCATATAGCTATATGAGATTGTTCTTATCTAATTACATGTAAATATCATGTGCTACATTTCCTCTTACATATCTCATAAGCAGAAGTGTTTGCATAGACTAGAAATGAACACCCATTATTTTCTGTAAGTGAGATCTTTAACTTAAGTTTCTCAACAATACCTAAATTCTTTCTGTCATGAAAGTTAAACAAGTAGAGAAATATCCCTTACTTCTAATACAAATCCCAAATGCTGTAAATTATTTGGGCTTGGATAAGTCCTTGAGTTCCAATGAATTTTTTCACAGAATTATGTTACTAGCATATTAACTATGAACGCCCAAAAAAATAGTTTAGTATATGCTAGTTGATTATGTTCTGTTCATGTTAATTTACAAAATTTCTTAAACAATGACTAAGTCACTAAGTTTGATGCTTTGACTTGACATGCAGTTGAAGGTAGGCTCATAAGTAGCGCTACAACTTAATCAACTAGACATTGAATGTGCCAATAATCCTTAGAGAGGAATATGCTACTAAATGTCTGAATATTGATATCCTGAATTGAAATGACTTCAGCGGTGGAACATGCTGCATAAGCAGGAAGGCCTGCAGAAACTCTATGAACTAAAAGCACTGCAAGATAAGCAATGCAATCTTTTTTTATTTATAAACAGTGCAATCTTATTTGCATGAGACGCAGAATTACAGGAACATTTAGTTGAAAACACGTTTCTAGAACTTGTCAAAAAAATGAAGCACAAATCCACAAATATAATAGAATACCTCCAATTTTTCAGCCTCTTCTCTGTCCATGGTAAGCTGTTTTTGTAGCTCTTGTATTTTTATTGAGTAATCTGTCTTATCTCCCTGCAAATCCCACACTTTTAATAAAATTAAATAACAATGAGCATTTGATTTCCATCTTCAGTAGGATATCTTATTTCCCAGAGTAAAAATTATCACTGACAAGCACCAATACACTAACATTAATGATAGTTTACAGAAAAATAAATGCAAAAGAGCTTTCTATAACACTTGCCTTTGTGGAACCCTTCAGTCTTCTGATCAGTGCATCAAGCTCTTTTGTCTGCAAAAAATAATCATTAAGAATGGTCTGAGAAGAGAGAATAGAAATTGAAATTATAAATTAATAAGGACTCCTGCAATACCTTGTGCTTCCTCAACCGCATAGCTGCTTGCCATTCGTTAGACGCAAGTCTTTCTTCATAGCTTTTAAACAAACCATCCGTGTAGTGTGCAAGCTGGAAGTAAGTTTGACATTGTCTTGACATACATGTTCTATCTCTACTCTTGTTTGACTCGATAAGTTCAACAGAATGTTTAAGGTATTGCTCTAATATAGTTCTTGAGCTACATAGTTAAAAAAGACACAATTAGACAGTCAACACTATTGTTTTATGTTACAGAATATTTCGTTATACGAAAGCAGAGCAGGTAAGTAACTATTACTTGCTAGAACAAGTTTCTGCTAGCCACTTCCCAACCAAACGATATACACTAGACGCTAATTCTCTCATCTGATAATTTGATAAGATATATCTTGCGAGACTAATAGCCATCTCATGCTGACCTTGAGCTCGTAACACTTTAGCTTCTTCAAGCTGCAAATATCACAAAGAAGAATAGACATTGTACATGATTACTCCTAGGCATTTAGAGAAACTAAGAGCAATTTAACGAAACACATAAATTTTTAGGCACTTATTGAGACACTCAGGAATTTTCCTCATAATTAATTCTATTATTGAATGCTTATTGTAAATAAAAAATACAAGTTAATCAAAGATCCAATATGATAGAATTGTGAGAAGTACAGATATGCATATGTAAAGTTCACAACTATGTTGTTACAGATCAAAAAACCAAGAAATCATTAAACGATTCAATATTACTTTTAAGTACGACTGAATAAATATGGAACATAACATTACGAAAGTTAACAGTTATCATATTTACCCTTCCAAGGAAATAAACATGTGAAGTCTGCAATTCCGGTTGACATAAGAGTTGCTTAAGCTCATGCAAAGCAGCAGTTGCTAGAGAAAACCTGGAACCCTGAAGCCCAAATACAAAAATATTACCAGATGGAAGATCCTTCATAAGAATCCTCATAAGAATCCACTAGCTCTGAAATTAAGCAAGATGGCAACCTTGCGAAGGGTGGAAGCAGACTGCAGCAAATGTTCCGCCATCGATTCCTTGCATCCTAAAATTTGAAGCATAACACGCCTGAATGCAATGAAAGGTTCCAACAAATTCATATGTAGTTGTGCCTGTCTTAAAATGCAGCTCCAAACTGCATCCAATGACTCCATCTGCATCCATAATAATTAGATAAGCTATAGGAGCATACAATTTATATGACGTGGCATAAAATTTATATGCAATATTAAAAATTTTCGTCCCCATGTGAGGATTATGATAACAAACTACGAATCTAACAGAGCATAACAACGTAAAACCAATATTCTTTTCCACAGCTACTGAAAAAGGACAACTAGTAGATCTTAAGAGGTGAGAACAGACAGCCTTCATGGAATAGTGGAGCATATTTATGAAAGGCTATCAATTGAAAGCAATGAAAAGGACTTCCGATAATTTTTGAAGCAAATCAAGTTATAAACACCATATATAAGATGCAGTCTCTGAATTGTCGCCAAAACGAGCCAAATTTTGTATCTTTCACTCATGAGAGGTAACAAAATAAAGATCACAACAAAAGGGAAATTGCTTGTCTGCCAAGTCTTATCAGCAGGCAGCATGTCCAGTTGTAGAATATATGACCAATTTGGGAGTATTAACTATAAACTTTATCTATTAAGACCAACCGGTATACTAATAGCCAATATATTTTATGAGGTTAACTCAAAAGGTCGTACAGCCAAGATCTCTAAGTTCTACAATAGAAGCTGGCTCGAAATCTCAATGGAATGATTTCTAAAAAGCTATTGCAGTTGAGTATTTAAGTAGTCATTTCTCCTTTCATACTTAAATGCTCTTTACCATTTATGTAGATTCCATGCTTATTTCCATGTGTATATCATATAAAGACTAGACTATCTCTTTTCCGTGAATTCTTCCTTTCTACCTCTTCTTTTGCACAAGAATCACAAACCCAGATTCTGAATTTATTTTCACGTAAATTACAAATTAACATTTCATGTTTCATTTTCATTCTTCTTCTTTTCTAGCCTTCTTTTCTGTCAGCAACAAGCAAAGCAAGAGTCTTTTAGAGTCTTTTCTCTTTCTTACACACTGTCCTGTCCTCCTCGGGCTACACATGATCCATATACTTGCTAAAAGTGTTGATCATATTTGTATATCATATTGAATGAAGATGGAAGAAGAAAAACCTGGACTTTTGTAGGAATAATAGGATCAAGAAACTTCTTCTGAGGCTGTAGATCGGATCTTTCTTCCGTTTGTAAAACTGGCTTCCAATGTAAGTCCCAAGCCATACCAAGATGGTCTAACATCTGCATTTGGCAGGATATCAGATAAAGCATTGTAGTTAATGATTATATGCAGATATTTAAAAAACTAATGGGCTATACAGATGGATTACCTGAAGCCTAACTATAGTAGAATAAATATGTTCAGTACTCTCCCTGCTTGTGTTAGATATTGAAAGAACAAGCTCCTAAATCGAATATCACACACAACATGAAGAATAAATCAATAAAAGAACATAAGATGTCAGAAGAAAATTGTCAATACAACACCAAACAAATTGGCAGAGAGAAATGGCTGTTATGCTCTCACCTTCTTTGAATCAGTAAGGTTTGTGCAAAACTCACCAGCATCTCCTTCTTGCAAAGCTCTCAAGCAACTGTTTTCATTTCATGCAAAACAGATATGAATCATATTTTTAAAAAGAACTACAATTTTATTATAAGGAACTAAGCCAAAACCTTGATATTCTCCATCTAAATTGAATCAGAAAGTCAAAATTCACTACAAGAAAAGTGGACTACATTCACCTGTTGGAAAAACAACATCCTACTTATTGTTCAGTTGCACCATTGAACTATGACAATACAGTGCAACAAAGAGTTAATACATACCCTTGTTTGAGAAAACTTAGTTATCTAAAGGAAAAGATAATTATAGTTTCTGTTTGATGCTACATGTGCCAGTCATCAGTATCTACACTGGGAATGATAAACGTAAGTAACATTAATCCAGTGAGAAAGAGATCTGACCAGAGATGGTGTCATTTAAGGCCTTCCAATCAACACATCTGCAGATTTGGAATAACAATTCATACAACAACAAAGCCTTTATCCTATAATTCTGAGGTCGCCTACACGAATCCTACTCTTTCATTCAGTTCTATTATAGGCCCATAAGATAACTATTATAACCTATAATTCTGAGGTCGGCTACACAAATCCTACTCTTTCATTCAGTACTATTATAGGCCCATAAGATAACTATTAACATATCCTTTTTAATTGCTTCTAACCAAGTTCTTTTAGGTCTACCCCTAGTCGTCTTTGCCCCATGAACTATAATCTTATCACTTCTACTAACTAGCACATTATGTCGTTTCTATTGTACCTACTCAATCAATTCTCTCTCATTTTATCCTAAATAGAAGAATGCACTCACTGTCTTGTATCTTTAAGTGTCTCCCCACAAGACCATCATAACATTCTCATTTATACTACACTAATTTCTTGCACATGTTTTTTAATTGCCAAACATTTTGAGCTATAAAACATAGTAACATAGTTGGTCTTCCAACTGTCTTGTGGAATTTTTTTCTCCAATCTCATAGGTAATGTACAGACACATTAGGATTGAAAGCGCTCCATTTTAATTATGAAGATTTGATTCAACGAACCACATCATCCTCAATATCACCGTTATGACGAACAATTGGTCCTTACATAACTACTCATCATATAAAATATAGGCATATTGTAGCCTCATTGATGCAACTTCGTGCAAAGAAACCATTATAAATAGAATACATGTAAACATACAAAATTATCTCTATGCTAGAACTGATTAGGAGTGATTTTGATCAAGATATTGGATCCTATGGACATCAAAATTTTGAAAAAAACAACACAAACACATG